CGGTGCTGACCCGCCGCTGTCCGCGGTGCTGGAGCCGCCCTGCGCAACCGGGGGCTCTGCCCGCGGTACCGACCCCACCCCGCGCCCCCCGGGCCGTAGTGTCCCCTCCACCCCCTCCAGGAAGGGCCCCTCCCTGTCCTCCCCTCCCGCGCCAGGGATGCGGTACCGCCCCCCCCAGCACTGCAAAGCCCCGGCCTCACCCCGGCTGAGAGGAGCCAGCACAACACCCTGCAGCATCGGGGGGGCCGGCACCCCAAAAACTTGCGGGGTGCAGGGCCGGTGATGCTGGAATCCTCCTCGAAACTCACTGCGGGGCAGAGGGGGTTTCGGGCAGCGCTCCCGCAAGTACTGGAGGTGCTGGTGGCAGGGGTGGGGTCACCCTGAAGCCCTCCCAGGGCGCTGGATATCTGGGGGTCCCTGCACACTCCTGGGGGGGGGCACTAATGCCCACCCCCAACACAATATATGGGGGGTCCCTGCACCCTCTGGGGTATCCCAACACCCTCCAGGAGCACAGTAGAGGTGGGAGGGGTCTCTGCACCTCCCGGGGTGGGGGCACCCTAACACGATATAGAAAGCGGGGGGGTCCCCGCATCCCTGGGGACTCCCTCGCTCCCCTTGCTCCAACCGCATCCCGGGGCGCTGCAGCCCAGGGTACATCCCCGGAGAGGTACGGGGATGCTGCGGACGCGTTCGGCGGCCACACCCTCACACTCACCGCGGAACCACTCCTCGGCCTGCAGGGTGCTGCGGGCCGCTGTGCCCTCCAGCTGTGCGCGCAGGTCGCGGAGCGCGGCGGTGACTCCGGGCCGCAGGGACGCGGGGGGCTCCGCGGGCAGCTCGGGGCGCGCCCCGCGCAGCAGCGCTCCCACCTCGGCTCGGTGCTGCCTCCGCAGCTGCTCCGCCTCCTCCCGCAGGGCCCGGGCTCGCTCCTCCAGCGGCGCCCGCGCCCGCTCCTCCTGCGCCGAGCGCTGCGCCAGCCCGCGGGCCGCCGCCTCCAGCTCCGAGCGCTGCCGAGCCTCGTCCTCCAGCCTTCCCCGCAGCGCCGCCACGTCCTCGGCCAGGCGCGCCCGCTCCAGCCGCAGCTGCCCCTTCTCGGCGCCCAGGCGCAGCACGGTGCCCCGCATGTCCCGCAGCTCCCGGGCGTACAGCTCGCCCATGGCCGAGCGCCCCGCCTGCTGCTGCCGCAGCGCCGCCGCCTCGGCCGCCAGCGCCCGGTTCTGCTGCTCCAGCGCCCGCACCCGCTCGATGTAGCCGGCGAAGCGGTCGTTCAGCACCTGCAGCAGCTCCTTCTCGTTGCGCGCCCGCGGTTCGCCGTTCAGCGAGTCCAGGCTCTCGGTGGAGGACGCGGCCGCGCTGCCGCCGCCGCCCCCCGCGCCCCGCGCCCGTCCCACCACCGGGGTCGGCCACGAGTAGAAGCCGCTGGAGGCGGCGGATCGCGGGGGAGCGCGGCCCGGCTCCTTGCGGAGCCCCCCCGGGGGGCCCAGCAGCGTCTCCAGCATCAGGCTCATGGCGACCCCCGCCCTCGCTGCGGCACCGGCGCGGCCGCAGAGCTTTATAGCGCTCGGGGCTGCCGCTCCGCCCCGCCACTGGCAGCGGGGGTGGCACCGGCACCGGCACCGGCACCGCCCCGCGCCGCCGCCGCAGCCCCGCGGGTGCGGGGGGACCCCGCTGCCACGCCCAGGTGGGGAGCGGGAGCTGCACCAGAAAGGAGCGGATTCCCCCTGGCAGGAGAACGGGGACTCTGGGGCACAGCGGGATCCGGGAGGAGAAAACAAGAGCACCGGGAAGGGAGTGGAGAGCTCCCGAAGGGAGCACGGACCCCCCCGGGCAAGATAACGGGACCCCTGGGACGGGAGGAGGGTGCTCCTCAAAGGAGAACACATCCCTCGGGCAGGGAGCAGGACCGCTGGGAATAGGGAATGGAAGCTCCGGGAAGGGAGCAGGGACACCCCAGGACAGAGTGGGAAGTGGAGAGCCCCTGAAGCGAGTATGGACCCTTCGAGCAGAGAGGGGGATAAGAGGAATAGAGGGTGGGACCTTCGGAAAAGGAGGTGGGACCCGCGAGAACAGGGCGAGGACCCCATGGAAAGGGAGTGGGGAGCCCCCTGATGTGAGCGTGGACTCCCTGGGCAGAGAGAGGAACACCTGGGAATAGAGAGGGATCCCCAGGAATAGAGTGGGACTCTGGGAAGGGAGCTGGGAGCAGCCGGTTCAGAGCAGGTCCCCACCCCGGTGTGAAGAAGAAAGGGGGGCGCAGACACCCCCTCCAAGGGTGGGATGCCAGGGCAGCGACCCTGGGGTGTGGGCCTCACTCTGTGTCCCCCCGGGGTCAGGCACTGACCGGGGCTGGGCGGGGGTGGGTGCTGGGAGGGTCCCCTGGGGACCAGGGCAGGGAGGGGATGGGAGGGCCGGGTCTGCCAGCCCGGCTGGGATGGGGATGGAGTTTACAGGGGATGGGGATGGGATGGGGATTACAGGGGGT